ATTAAGCGACCTGCCACAAAATGAAAATATAGTTATAAACTCATATTTTTAATTTAAAAAACATGTTTATTAGATAAAGAAAAACTATAATTTATTAATCTAAAATTAATTTCATCTTTTTTTTTTAGATTTGGATAAGGAGGATTCGAACTCTATTTAAATAGCGAAAGAATCATGCATTAACTAATGAGTTAAATACTCGAATGTAATTAATTTCATTTCGTAATGATATGAAATTCATAAATATCATCACACTATAAATCTGTTAACAATGTTAAATTGATAAATTAAGGAAAACTAATATTTAAAAGTTTGGCAAATTGTACCAGCTCCATACCACATGGCTTATGTTACAAGGTAATTCACAAATGCTATTTTATTTCTCATTTCTATAAAAAATTAATTTAAAAATACTTTTTAATAATTTTTTATTGAAAAGAATGAGGAATTCGAACCATAAACACCAAACACCATAATTTGTAATATTAATTATGTCCTTTACAAATTTATTAGTATGTGGTACCCCATGAAGCATGTGGCTAAAGCCAGTTCGTTTAAACAAAGTGGAGAACATTATATTTCTAGGGTAGAGTCGTAGCTTATGCTCAGCTGAAGTAATTAAGGTTAAAGAGAAATTTAATGCCAAATTTCCTCGGACAACTAGAATCCCTCTTACCTTGGGACCACCCTAAACTAATTCTATTTTTAATTTTATTTGTTTTACTGCTTATGAGTCTAATTTCTTATAATATTTTAGGCATAATGTTCACAAAAACTTTTAAATTATTTAATAAAATTTAAATAAATCATTATTTTTTATTATATTTAATTAAATTTTTATATTTTTTATTTTACATCAAATAAGATTAATTGTTATTAATTAAAATTTTGATTGTGATTAACGCTAATATGAAAGATAAAAATATAATATATCCATGTCATTATATCATATTAACATACCATGTAAGCATGTATTATTATATGTTAACATGTCACGTTAATCTTACATGATTAAAAATAACAAGTGATATTTTAATTAAGTAAATAATTAGTTATTAAAAATTACTTAATAAAAAATAAAAATATAAAAACTTATTTAATGTAAAATAAAAATATAAAAATTTAATTAAATGTAAACAAAAAATAAATATTTTTTAAAATTTTCATAAATTATTTAGAAAATATTTTTACGTATTTTAATTTTGAGTTAATTTCATATCATTTTATATTTTACATAAAAGATATCCATTTAAATATAATTTTCGGATTAAGATGAAACAATTTTAATTATATTTTATAATTTAAATATAATTTTAGAAAATCTAAAATAAAAGACCATTTTTCCAAGGCAAGGCTAATCACTGGGTCTTAGTTTCACGTGCAACAGAGCAGGTCTGAGGCTTGTATTCATAGGCTTTATTTATTTAAGACACTTGAGTTGGGCAGACACCAAAGAAAGGGCGAGAGTGAGGAAAAGGAAAAAATGGCAACAGCAACAGAATCGAAGACAGTTCATTCAGCAATGGTGACATATGCTTCAATGTTATTGCTTCTCTCTCTTTGCCCTCCTTTTGTCATCTTACTGTAAGCGATACCCCAACACTTTCAATTCTTCTTTTTTTCTTCTTTTTTTTTTTCCTTTTTAAGTTTTTTTTTCCTGAGAATCTTATTCCAGGAACTCAAAAGCCTGTCATGATGTAAATACCCATTTCAGCTTTTCAGTTTTAATGACTTAATTCATTCTGTAACTCAATCTTGGTGAAGCAAAATGAAAGTAAAAATCGAAACTTTAGTATATGAAGACAGAACTTAACAAGTTTTTAGATCTTATCGAAACTTGCCCAGATTGTTGCTGATCATTATTGTGGTACTTAAGAAGCATTAAGATCAACAAAGTTACCTTTTTCTTTGTTGTTGTTATTTAATACTTTGTGGGGATGATAGAGGCAAAGACATTTCATTGATTGGTGACTTGTGTTTCAATAGTTGCAGTTTTTACTATCTGCCCTCCTTTGGTTATTTATCTCCAAGTTTTATGCTTGATTCCCTTTGATTTTTCATTTGTTGTTGAGGTCAACCATATTTTTATCTTGTTTGTTTGAATGGAACCGAAACTTTCCCATTAAGGGTTTCTTTTCCTTGTAAAATCCTGTTGACTGTGAAATTCATAGACTTATACATCTCTAGAACGTGACTGTTAATGTTTGGTCTTGTTATATTTTTATAGGAACTCATAGTCATTTGTATGTTTGTTGGAGTTTTCAATGATTGTCGCTGAATGAAGCTTTTTCTTTTTGCTCCCTTTGGGTCTTCAGAAAATGTAGGAGAAAAAGGGTGCTCAAAGTTTGAATCTTGTTTGGTTTCTGGGAAATGTAAAAACAAGGTTGATGAATAAATAAAAGAAAAGGTTTCAATTTTAATTTAATAACTGATACTTCAGGAATATCTTTCATCCACTCAATTGGGCTGAACAGGACAATGAAAAGAATTGTTTATACTTAAATTCTTGTAGGCACATGAAGGTATTGGGATGTAAAACATGACATGAGAGGAAATATACTTTTTTATCATTGGGCTCACAGAGAGGAAAATATTTTTGTATATGTGAATGCTGGCATTTGCATGTGCATATTAGTGGGCACCACATTTGCCTTTCCAGTTACTGAACGGACATTAAATTTTCCAGTCTCTGGCGAATATCTCCGCCTGTAAGAATTCTAGAAGCATCATGCAAGAAACGTAGAACAAGCTTTTACGTTATCATGAATATGCAAACATATGTAACAGTATGGAGTAGGTCTGAGGTAAAAATAAGGAATATATTGTTACGATCTATTTGAGAAAGTCTAACGACAATCGACGGATCATTAAAGCTATCAGAAAAAGAATGCTCTGATTTCTATAAGCATAGTGGAAGATTCAGCTTTTACCTTAGTTTTGGGAATGCAAAATCTTTCTGTAGCTGCGTAATTGAGTTCTTCCTTGTTTTTGCAAAATTTGTTGCAGTTTTCTTCCTGAGTGCATATTGAAATTGTTTTTTTACTGCATGCAGATGGTATACAATGGTACATGCTGATGGGTCTGTTGCCCAAACTTGGAATTTTCTCAAGCAGCATGGACTGCAGGGTTTTATAGAAATATGGCCAAGACCCACAGCCACTGCTTGGAAAATCATTTTCGTTTATGGAGCATTTGAAGCAGCACTTCAACTGTTTCTTCCTGGCAAGAGGGTTGAGGGCCCAATATCTCCCACAGGGAACCGGCCTGTTTACAAGGTTTGAGTTACTTGATGTTATTTTGTGGAAATGCTTATCACTTCTTTTGCATCCCCTCTTATATGCTTGGTTATCATTTTTACATTTTTGTATCTCCCAAATAGAATTATGAATGATTAAATCATGTATAACTATCTTATTGCGTAAATCATAGGCTTCATTTTGTCAATTTTGCAGGCAAATGGGGTGGCAGCATATTTTGTGACATTGGTTACCTATATTGGTCTTTGGTGGTGCGGACTTTACCTTTTACCTTTAGCAAATGAGATGCAGAATTTCTTTTCTTGGCTTGACGTTTGTTGAACTGTATATTTTTTAGCCATTGGAATTGGGAAAAAAAAATTGGAAATGCAATTAAAGGCCCTGCTATCTGTTGGGAAACTCTGTTTCTGTTTTTTTATTGTATTTTTATTCCATGTTCCAACTTCCTTTCTTCTTGATTTGGGAAATGGGGGATTCAAACTCCGCTCTTTGAGCAGGAAGATACATACACCTACAATTGAGTCCAACTTCTATGGTTTTTCATGTATTCTTGTGTGAAGTTTCTATTCATTGGAAATTTATCAAATGGAAATTTAGTTGATAACGTTAGCATTCCTTGGATCTTATTTTTGAGAAGGCATGCCTTTTCTGTTTTCTTGTTTTGATTCAAATAGCTTTCAGGCAAAATTAATCCCTCTACTGATTTTCATTCTCCAGGTTTGGGATATTCAACCCCACGGTTGTTTATGATCATTTGGGAGAAATATTCTCAGCACTCATCTTTGGAAGCTTGATTTTTTGTATTTTCTTATACATTAAAGTGAGGAAATAAGTTAGGCTGATGCAAGTTTTTCACAAGTTAACTTTCCAATCCATAACTCTGACACTAAGTTTTATGTTTACAGGGTCATTTGGCTCCTTCTTCTACCGATTCTGGGTCATCTGGGAATATAATAATTGATTTCTATTGGGTAAGCATCTATGAACTTTGCTATTTATATTATCTCATGTAATATCTTAAATTTCCTTTCGGAGCTTCAAAGGTATGGGTCAAGTAGAAGAGAAAAATGGAATCATTGCCACAGAAGATGCGGATTGAAATTTTTTAGTTGATTATACCATGAAAGTGTGCCAGTGTGTATGGAGGGAGGGGGAATCAGCAGGTTGAAGGCATATGATTGAAATCTAGCTGAAATCAAACCTCCCAACCTATTGTTTTAGAAATCTGTGGACTAATATAGGAGCGACGATTTCTGATGCCATATGTGAGCTTCAAATAATTAGTGTCATCTCATATTTAAGAGAATGAAAATCTTGCATAAGATGTGCTATAAACCCACACATGCAGACATGAAAACATATCGTGTGTGTGTGTAATAGTAGAATATTGTGAAAACGACGATAACTCCTCAAAAACAAACTCAAACAGTGAAATCCTCTAGTAGCTTTTCCTAAAATGAAGATGGACTAAGAAATTAATTTTCAAGTAGCCACAGAATCTTGAAAAACAAGCACATAAGGAGAATTGTACACATTATCTTTGAGAATGCTTTTCTATGTTGTATGTGGTGACATATATTGTTGACTTGGTGGTCTTTTTTGATGGTCTTCTTGTTGCAGGGTATGGAGCTCTATCCACGAATTGGCAAAAATTTTGACATCAAAGTCTTTACAAATTGCAGATTTGGGTTGATGTCTTGGGCAGTTCTCGCTGTCACCTATTGCATAAAGCAGGTAGTTCTTGTTGGTTAATTATTGCAAGTGGGGGTTGAGAAAACAAACTCTCTCCAAGATCCCATATCGTTAGGCCTTATTACTCAATTTTAAAAAATAATAGTGTCCTCTGAAGTTCAGGTATATTTCAATAGTGTAGGGGAAAAAACACACCTTTTGGTTTTCAATTTGGTTCTACCAGCAGATATGCTAAGTGTTTGAATTGGATACCAGTTAGATTAGATAACTTTAAGATATGTTGAGCACAGAGAAATAGAGGCATTTAACTTTGTACCCTCTTTGCCTTCTCCTCTTCAAATGTAGAAAAGTTCAGGTACAACACTTTCGTTAGGTTTTCAAAGTTATTATGGCAGCATAACAGATTTGGGTAGGTTTTAATATTCTGTCAAAATAGGCGATAGCTTGCTAGAGAGAGCAGTTATACCTGTAGTTGCTTGGTACTTATTACAAAATCAGGTGTCAAATTTTAAACTTTAATGCCTGAGCAGGTGGTTAATCAGTTACCTACCATGGTACCATGTCTCAGGTACCTTGATGTACCTGTTAACCTTTTGGAGCTAAACTATTTTTAAACTAGATTTACTTTCTTACATCTGCTTATGGGTAATAGTGTAAGGTGGTGTTTTCTTCATAGCTGCAATTTGTTTCATTTTGCTTTGAATTATAATAAACTAAAGTTTTGCTGTATTTAAGTAAATAATCTTTAGATGCTATCTCTAATATATGCTTTCTTTTCTTTTTTTCCTTTTTATTAGTATGAACTCAATGGAAAAGTTGCTGATTCCATGCTTGTGAATACAATATTGATGCTGGTGTATGTTACAAAGTTCTTTTGGTGGGAAGATGGTTATTGGAATACAATGGACATTGCACATGATCGAGGTTTACACTCATTCTACTTTTCTTTTCAAAGTCTTGTTTATTGTTTGTTTTGTTGGCTAAAATACTAAATAAGCCCCCAAACTATCCCAAATTTCCAAAAAAGCCTCCTTTTTATTGTACGCAAATAGGCTCCCATTCTATGATTTTTACTCAGATAAATCCTTATGTTGACGAAAAGATGTCGCATGACGCAAATGACCTTAACGGTCGTAGGCTTATGACGAGCTGGCATATTTCGCACTCCTAACTGATTATTGTGGCCTTTCTAATGCGACAAATTTGGCTGATTCGAATGGCCCTGACTCGAGTGGGAAATTTTTTGACTTAGCCAATTTCACAAGGTTAGAGTCCATGTGTGCAAAAGATGTCATCTGGTCATGGGCCTAAGTGCTATTAAGATCACGTGATACATCCTTCTGTCAACATAAGGGTCTATCTGGGTACCAATAACAGGATAATGGCTTATTTGGGTACAATAAAAGAATAATTTAGGAAAAGTGAGAAACTTCAGGGGCTCATTTAGTATTTTAGCCGTCATTGTTTCATTACACCATTCAGATGAATCGCCATATTGTTTTAATAAAATTACTCCAACTTGTGGGAGCTAAACCTCCATTTATTGCTTGTTAACTGAGAGCTACTGAGTTTCTCAGTGTAGACGAGAAAATCCTAGATAAGCACTCTCAATTCTAAGGGAGAAGGAGAAAGGAGAGATATGCTTTGAGGATGGAGGGAGGGGAAGGGAGAGAACGGAGGAAGTTGATGAGATGAAAATTATTCTCTGGTTAGAATTTTTAAGATAAAACAAGTACCTCTATGTGTGTCTATGTGACTTAAAATGTATGTATGCAAGCTCATATATGTATGCATATGCATTTATGTATATGTGTTATTTTATTCACTGTGAAGGTAGTAGCATATGATTTTGATGTTCTACCCCATTAAGCTTCCTGTGTAAGTAGCAATAGATTTAGCCTGGTTTAGTTTTAATAGCTTATTATAATCCAAAACTGAAACTGAACTATAAATTTTCAGCCATTGGAGTTTCCAGTGTTCTTTAAATTTTTACTTTTTTGGTAACTGAAATATTGTTTTAAGACCTATCATATCTTAATTCATATATCTGGGTTTTGGCAGCTGGGTTTTATATTTGTTGGGGATGCTTGGTTTGGGTTCCATCTGTGTACACATCACCAGGGATGTACCTTGTCAACCATCCTGTGAACCTTGGAACACAGGTATGTTAATGCCTTCCTCCAAAAATTATGAACAATATATCCTCTTATCATTATAAGTTTATAGACAACAATGTTACTTAGCTGTCTTCTGCATATGATACCTACATAATATAGGCCTTATGTTCACAAAGTTTGGTCCACTAATGACTTTTAGTTGGCAAAAGGAGTTGAACTCAGCTCTTTCTGCAATTCTAGGTGAAATTTTGGTGACTCAGTTTTGAATATTTTAAGAAGAACGTGAAAATTCATTGTTTTATCTCTTTCCTCGTTTAGCCCCTGGATTAATCAGGAAATCACAATGATTTTGGAATATAAAAAAATTTGGAATTTGGTCTGTCTCCATTGTTTTTTGTTATAAATGATTTCTTAAAATTTAATTTTGCACTATTAATTTTCTTAATGCACTATAATTCTCCATTTGGTGTACCCATTATAATATTTTTGCAATAAAAGGACATCTGACCAAATCTAAATCATGCTTTATCTCTAAGGTGCTCTAAGAATTTCATTATAATGAATTCCTCTAGATGATATCTTAAAATGCTCAACAGCATTTTTTTTCTAAGTTCTTCTTTCCTTGAGCATTCCATCTCTTGTAATTGGCCTTTATACAACCATGTTTATTTATTAAATCTTTTCCCTATAGATGGAATTCAAAGGGAAGAGTTTAATAAACTACTTTGAAGTCTCAACACTGGATATTCTCATTATTAAGCTACTGGAGTTAGTAGGAAAATCCAAATGGACTAAACGAAGTATGCAGTTAAACTCATATGGTAGTTTAAAACAAAACAACAGAGTTGGGGATAAGTTATAGACAAGTAAGTGGCAATTCTGTTCCAGTACTGGAGATCAGTGATCCCAATGATTTCCTCTGGAGTCTGGTCTTTAGCTGCTTGGTTAGTTTGGTCAGTCCAATTAATAATTGATGTCTAAATATGTGATTCTCCCCCTTCTTTTTTTTTCATTTTTTATTAAAGAGTAAAACAGTAGAACTTTCAGCCCAAATTTATGTCAAGTATTGAAAGTTTGTTAAAGTTGTTAAGATTAGATTATGTGCTGAATTTCCATAATATTTTGGGACCAGATATAAACTGTATAATTCTCAGACAGCCTATTTGGCCTGGGTTGGAGCTGTGAGAAAATGGGCTGTTGAGGAGAGCTAATGTGTTGTTAAATTGTAATTGTTTATAATAACAATGAATATTTTTTGTCTATTTAAAAAATTTATCAAAATTATCTATCAGCTTTAGATTTTAGCTTTTCGCAATAACTGATCAGGAGTGCCTGCTTTCAGTTCCCAAAAGCTCATTTCAGATTTTACAGAAGTTAAAAGTAGTTTACTTAAATCCTGTTTGCCCTAGCTTTTGCTTTCCAGAATAGGGAAGCAGTTCCAAAAGCTGGGCCAAACAGGCTGTATGGGTTATAGAAGTAACTCACTAATTGAATTATCATCCATCCAAACCAAAACTTGTTCAATGGAAAATGTATCCTGTTGAATAATGCATTTTCAAAATGAAGCAAGCAGTTTGTTTATTCAGTTGAATGTTGGATCAATTAAAATGGTGAACTTGACTAAGTCAAATAGTTGAAACTTTCAGGAGGTCCAGATCTCTTAGTTTGGATGTTTTTAATGATTCTACAGAGTTAATCAGAGTCCAGAAGGGAATGATGGAGAAAAAAAATTTTCAATTTGCAAATTAAGCCTGGTCAAAGAGAAGTTTTGGTTAGTGCATTTTTTTTTTCCATTCTAAAAGTCTGTTTTCTCTTTTGCCAGCTTGCACTTTATATCTTACTTGCCGGCATTCTTTGCATATATATCAACTACGATTGTGATAGGCAAAGACAAGAATTTCGCAGAACAAATGGCAAATGCAGGGTCTGGGGGAAAGCTCCATCAAAGGTGCTTGTCTCATGGCTTTTTATCTTTATGTTCTTGTTCATAAATTTGGACTCATGAGTTCAAAGCAGATCTCACCCTGTCTGGCCTTTTCTACAGATTGAGGCCACCTACACAACATCTGGGGAAACCAAAACCAGCCTTCTTTTAACCTCAGGGTGGTGAGTTTTCCTATTGTGATGTGCTGACCAGCATAGAGAACTACTTGCTTTCTCTGCTAGGACTTGCTTTATGGTGTACAAGGCAGTTGAGGTTGCATTAGTTAGTCTCAGTTGATTGATTTCATTCTCATAAAATTAATTTGTCATTATGAGGTTTAAAATTTACAAATATAAAAAATCTTGTGAATTTTCAATATCCCTTCTGTTGTGAAGATATCTAGTGGCTAAATAAGCATGCTGAAGCTTAACTGGAGGATAGTGGCCTTTCTTAGGACATGAAGTTTGCCCAGTTTTCTTTACCAGAAAACACAGTTTGAGCCAGGGCTGTGTCCTCATAATAACAGTAACATCACTTTATATCTTGGTTTTTTCAGGTGGGGTTTGTCTCGTCATTTCCATTATGTGCCAGAAATATTAGCTGCATTTTTCTGGACTGTTCCTGCTTTGTTCAACCATGTAAGCTTGTTCCTAATTGTTATAAGCATGCTACTTGGAGCTACCTGTAACCATATCTGAAATTTTTATTGCTTTGGTACTTCTTCAGTTTCTGCCATACTTCTATGTGGTGTTTCTTACCATCCTCTTATTTGACCGAGCCGAAAGGGATGATGACAGGTGTCGATCCAAGTAAGTAATATTAACTTGGTGTTTTACCTGGACAGTTACTTCTTTGAACCAATACCTTTTTGGTGTTTTTGTTACTTCATTTGGCAAGGACTTACCCACATAAGTCAAATCTGGAGTGACTTGTGGCTCAATTGGTTTTTAGGTTTTGGATGCTTAATATGGAGCATGACCCTTTTGAATTAGAAATATTCAATTTAACCTTTTAAGTTATTATACTGGTTAGGCATAATTCTGGAAACAAACTAGGGGACAATTTGGCTTGGGAACCATTTAACCATAACAATTTTATCTAATTGGTTTTGGGCCTTGTAAAATAGGTGTGATTCTAGGGGGTTTTCCCAATTATCTTGAAAGTATGTGTATATGTCTATGTGCATGCACACCGTGGAGCATGGTGTAGAGGTTTCATTCACCTTGTTACCCAGAGTAATTGCATTATAATAGTTTCTTTTGTATTTTTCGATATGTCTACTGTTGAGTGGTAGTCTTGTCCTTCCATGTTTACTCTCCTTGGGAAATTAAGGAGGGACTTGAACTCAAACTCATGCTATCCCTTCAGAGTCTAAACCGAGAGTTAATGAATGAATTAAGCTAGCTGGCATTATCCTATTTATTATGTTCTTTGTACATTGCCTATACAGGCATGCATGCCCATAGTCATGGAAAATACACATTCAAACACACGCACGCTTGCATAATTCAAAAAAGCTACAAGGGAAATAAGAGAGGAAAAGAGAAAAACAAAGATAGTTGCTGGTAATCTATTGTCTTAAAGCATTATATTGAAGTTGAGTAAGGTTATGACAAGATCCTCCTTTTCAGATATGGCAAGTACTGGAAACTCTACTGCAATAAGGTTCCCTACAAGATCTTACCTGGAATTTATTGAGAGATGCTTCGCGAACAACTCAGCTGCTCATATTGAATTTACATGAGCATTTGTGTACCATGTTGTTGAACTTGAAAATGCTATGTAACATTATCTCCCTTTGAAATGCAAACTCCTTCTAGACACCTTTGGGTGCTTGTAAGTTTTGCTTTGCTTCCATCATGCATATGGTGCCCAGATTTCTCCTCTTGGCTATAAGCTAGGGAAGATGCAGTCTGCTGCAGCCCTGGTATGGTAAATGCTGCTTTGCAATGGATCATAGGATACATCCAAAGTCTTGGCAAAAAGGGACGGGCTAATTAATATGTTTTATGTTTAATGCACGTATAAACCTTTTTAATCTCGTTGTTAAGGTAGGTATTTTTATGTTTTTGGAAAAAGAAAGGTTTCGGATTTAAGATTTGAGGAAAGTGGATTGGACAGAAAGATTTTATCTTTTAAAACCAATGTTTTTTAAAACTAGACCGCCAATTGAACTGGTTAAGCAAACAAGTCGTGGTTTAACTGGTTAAATCAGCAGTTCGGGTTTTTT